GGCAACAGACCCGGAACCGGCGCAAATTGTAGCATTGCCGACGTCGCTTTCTTGGCTGGGCCCGACTTTCATTTCGCAGCCCACGGCGCCCTTACCCAGAGTTACAATACCTCATGGCGTTTCAGACTACATGGTGTTTCAAATTTACAGATACAACAAATCGGAAGCTGCACTTGGAATCGATCTGGGAACCACTTACTCCGCCGTTGCGGTTTTCGTTAATGATGAGCCAGTCATTTTGCCGAATGAATACGGTGAGAAAGTTTGGAAAAGCAACCCCTTCAAAGCCGCCCCACGATGTGCTCATTCCTCACCCTAACTTTTGCAATTATTTTTTATTTACGGCAGATTATTAGCCGTCACCCCTAAAATTGATCTTCCTTGGCATTCTTGGTGTCAGTGATTCACTGGCAGCCTGTTGGCAGCGATTTTCCTGTGCCCATCATGCGTTCTAGGAAATCGAACTACTCCATCGCAAGTGGCGTTCAGCGAGGGAAAGACTCTGGTCGGTGATGCCGCAAAAAATCAAGGAACTAGAAATTCTGGGCAAACCATTTATGGTATGCTCCGAATAGCCCGCCCCATAATAACGGTCTCTTTCAGAAATCAAGCGTCTAATGGGGCGACCGTTTTGCGACGAGCATGTCAAGACCAGTGCAAAGAACTGGCCTTTCGACGTTGTGGAAATTGACGAAATGCCAGCAATCCAAATCGAAGATGGCAAAGAAATTAGACAATATACTCCAATCGAAATCTCCACCATGCTGCTTTCTAAGTTACGGGTAAGCTTCACAAGTAACCTGCAACAATAACTGGTGGGGGTGGGGTTGGACAGCATTAAATTACCATTAAATAGCCTAGCTAGTATTGCTTCGCAAAGATCTAATTTCTACTATAGTAGTATTTCTTAGAAAATTGCTAGTGATTACCTCTCGTTTGATGTGACCAATGCAGTCATTACCGTGCCTGCTTATTTCAACGATGCACAACGGAAAGCGACAAAAGAAGCTGCTGAAAAAGCCGGGCTCAAAGTTCTACAACTCCTAAACGAGCCAACCGCGGCTGCTCTCGCCTTTGGATTTGGACGCACGCAGCAAAGCACGCTTACCATACTGGTTTATGACTTCGGTGGCGGCACCCTTGATGTTTCAATCGTGGAAATCACGGGATACTTGTTTGTGGTAAAAGCTACCAGTGGAAATCCACAGCTTGGTGGTGAAGACATCAACAACAAGATGCTCGAGTATTTCGTCAAGGATCTGAAAGAGAATCACGGCAAAGACATAGAAAACGAGCCGCGTGCCCTGGCTAGACTTCGCTTGGCTTGCGAACAAGCCAAAATCAAGCTCTCAACGGCTGGAAAGGTGGGTGGCCCGCAAAGTTTAGAGGAAAGATTTCAAAATTTCTACGGTTTTCATTAGTATGCCTAAACTCGCCTCGTACCTTTGCGCTGGGACGTAACAAGGGGTTTCCCCCAAAAAACCTGAAAATGGAGAGCCGGCATCTAGTTATTTTTAATGCCGTTTGGGGGGGGAAGGAGAATTTCGCGGGTGGGGAGAAGTCACCTAACCGTATTGGCGCGCGCAACTAACATAGCAATCGACGGACTAGCTGCGCTTTGGGCGTCAAAATGCCCTCTAAATGGTAGTTTGATGAAATTTTCAGGCAGAGCTGTTTGTTCCATCATTACTGCTTGATTTCGATTACCGAAGAACCATCACAAGGCGGCAATTCGAAAAAATCAACGAAGAAATATTCAAGAGTGCCATGTTTCCCGTCGAACAAGCTTTGAGGGACCTAAACCTGCAACCCGACAAGGTAAATGAGGTGTCGTGCGTTTTTTATTTATATGGCCAGATTGATGAGGTGCTACTGATCGGTGGTTCGAGCCATATCCCAATGGTGCGCGAAAACCTCAAGGCTTATGGCTTCCGCACCCTAAATACGTCCATTAATCCAGAGGAAGCCGTCGCTAATGGCGCCACAATTCAGGCAAGTCGCACAAGGACCACGGTCCCAAAGCACACTGCTGTTTAGGCTGCACGCTTGGCGGGCAATGGCAGCCCAAAAATCCGTCGTATCAAGTTCAGTGATGTGATACCGCTATCCATCGGCTCGTCGCATTGGGGCGGCCATACGGTGGTCCGATTGCCGCGCAATACTCCCTTTCCCACAAAAACTGTGGGCCGAGTTACAAGTGCGGTGGATTTCCAGAAAACAATCTCGATTCAAGTAAGTAATCACGCTTCCAGGAAAACGATGCAAAACAATATGGCCGGTCAAGGCGGCTCCCATTTTCCACAAATCAAAATGCGGGCCTTTCCAGGCAAGCCGCCTTTTGGTGTTAAAGGTGTGCTGTTGTAGGCCCTACAGGGATATTTTTTGTTTCGCTTAATTACATTTTTGACGACATTTTTTACGCAGCAACAAGAGCTTTTTTCGATTTGGTCGCGTATTGCTACAAATGAAAAACCATTCGGTAGAGAAATGGAAATGAATTTGGGTTCCGAATCTCAGAATCCTGCCGAAGAGCTTTTTTTAAACGATAGAAAATCAGGGAACGGAAACAAATTTTTTTTGCGTCGGGATAGCATTAACTCGGACGACTCTGAATCAACGTTATAGGTAACCGAAGGGGAGCGCTGTGAAGCTGTACTAAATAACCGGCTAGGAAAGCTCACACTATCGATTCGCGAAGCACGGGCCGGCGAAGCGAAAATTAATCTGACTTATGAGATCGATGAAAATGGAATACTTATTATCAAAGCGGATGATGTCCGCGAGGGCACCTCACGGTCCATTAACATCAATTCGGTGGAATTCGGCAAGGCAACGGTTCGTTTATTGATAGCATTGTTTTTCCCGGAAAAATCCAGTTTTCATGCGGTTTTCCTATGAAAATCATGCAAATTATTTCGGGGTAGTGACTTTTCGGGGTAGTGACTTTTCGGGGTAGTGACTTTTCGGGGTAGTGACTTTTCGGGGTAATGACTTTTCGGGGTAGTGACTTTTCGGGGTAGTGACTTTTCGGGGTAGTGACTTTCGGGGTAGTGACTTTCGGGGTAGTGACTTTACCCCAGGAGGGGGTTTTTAGTGATCCTGGGGTTTCGAGTTGGGACCAAGCCTATTTTGTGCACAATTTTTCCCTGATTCCGAATTCGCTTTCAAACAGTGCTGAACTAAAAAACTGCTCTTTCAAATGCACAGCCGTCCCAATAAATTTGCTTAAAAAGTCACGACTCACCAGCGAAAATTTTTTTACAGAACGTGGTCCTGGCCATCGATTTGACAAAATCTCACAAATTTTGAAAAGTCGGCGTGTGATAGCTTATTTGAAAGAGCAGCTTTTTGAAAGAGCTTAGAGCAGCCTGTGCTAAATATTTTTATCACAAATTTTTTCTGTGAGTTTTTGAGGCTGTTGAAAGTAGGCTATTTTGACATTTTTGGGCCCTAAAAACCTCGTAAATCTTTCAAAATCGCCGTTCAGCACTATTTGAAAGCGAATTCGGAATTAGGGAAAAATTTTGCACAAAATAGGCTTGATCTCAACTCGAAACCCCAGGATCACTAAAAGACCACTCCCTGTTCCCACCGCAAGACATTCCAACTGTTGGTCCGTAAAAGGTACTTTGAATCCTACTATATATAAAAAATAGTGTCTGTATGTGTGTGTGCATTTGCATGCAACTTTCGTGAGGATGTTCCGCACCTACAGCCTCAGGGAAGAATTTTTTCGATTGGGCAAAAACGTCATTAGGTAAAGAAGGGTCCGGAATCGACTGCACTCACATAAAATCTTTGAAAAATGGCTATTTTCGCTATTAAAAACAAATTTTTGTAAAATTCTCGCCCACCCCCTTGTTATGGATCAATTAGCATAAGCCGGAAGTGGGATAGCCTATAAAACGGATAGCCGTTTTTCACTTTTTTCCTGATAGATTTCGGGGAAGAAGCATGCAAATTGAAGACTTTCATCTGTCCTAGACGGGGCCAGGGTTGAAAAGCCGCGAAGCGGTTTTTTAACCCTGGTTTAAGGATAATTGACGCGTCTTATCGTAGCGTATTTTAAGCTCAAGCGCATTTTGCAGTCATTTACGCCTCTTCAGATTATGTTTTCTGGGGCTGTCGAGGGACTGGGATTTTTTGCCGAATGCGCCAAAAGGGCTACTGATATGAGCCTATATAAAATCAGCACATCGGGTCGGCCGAGGCAAAGGCATGCCGGTTCTCAGTTTCATTGAGAATCAATTTGTTCTTGCAGTCTTATGGTCAAAAACGGACTCCCTCGACCCGTTTTTTGTGGTAATCATGTAGTTTTTAGGTATTCGATGTCACACATTATTTGGCCAACCGGAAAAAATGCAATCAGGAAGATCTGGCCTATAGGGAGCGGGTCACCAAACTACGGGATTTTCTGACAGCCGCGCACGAGCTGAAATGGCTCGGCCGCCAGAAAGTAGGTTTATATGTAAGTAGCTCAAATGTCGATTGTTCCTGCGTATTTGAATTTTTGAGACAATGCCGAAATGATCCGGATCAGTGGTCAACGCAAATCGTACCGAGAGACGCTAGGTTTTTAGATGGACCGCCTGAGCGAAGCCAAGAAAAAACGGATCAAAGAGATTGGCAGCGCTGCTTATCAATGGATCGTGGATAACGAGCTATATCCGGATCGCCTCGAAATTGTACGCCGGCACACTGAAATGGAGAAACAACTAAGCCAAATCATTGGCTAGGTTGGAGTGTTTTAAGGGTATATGCATAAACACCTACATCGTGCGTTTTGAAAACCTTATCATCTGCGATATTATACCCTCTCAGGTATAAAATCAGCAAACGGTGGCCACTCTGCCCCAAATTTGTGCACAACTACAAAACATGGCCAAAATATACGGAAGCTCATACTTAACCCAGATAATTCGTTTACTTCGATTCAATCAATCAATAAGCATTCGATTTATTTTTTGTCTCGCCAAATGTTATCCTTAAATTTTGATCTACTTGTGCGTAGTGGTGCCATTATGCGCTTCCGGTTTCTTGCCATACTTTTCTTTGATGCTGTTTACCTAAAACAATCCATTTAAGTTAGTCAGATTTTTATGAAAGTCCCTGGCCTTCATATTGGCAGTTGCGCGAAAAGAAAGGCGGCCTTCAAAATAATACCTTCTGCTTTGTCTGCTCGTTGAAATTGGCTAATCGTTCTTCCACTTTTGCTTTGTTGATGACCAAGGCTGGTTCGGTCGAATTTCCACCGAGGTTCATCTAAAAAGAGGTTAGATGGGATTTAAATTAAAAACTTACTCGAAACAATTTTCCGCCCAGCGGATCTAGTGGTTTTGGGTGCTTGCAGAAAGTTGCATCGAATTCGTGGAAGAATTTTTTCAAGAATGGTTTGTTGCATGCGAGGGCTTGCTGAAAAATAAACTATTGCAAAAGTGCAAAAGTGCAAAAAGAAGTGGCAATGAAAGCTTTTTTTTTAATTTTGAAAACTCAAAAACGAAAAGAAAAGTGGAAAGATAAAAAAATTGGGGAGCCCGAATAAAATCTTTTCCCGCGTCTTTGAGTGACAAGGCGACGCGGGAGAAACCGCATTAATGGAAGGCTGCCTCGTTTGTAATTACGTTTAGTAACAAAAATTTCTTTACCTGAACTTCCGGACTTTCATTCTTCAACCACGCCTTGTATGCGTAATAACTCGATTCAGCCGACTTTTTCTGCTCATAATCGGCGCACTTTGTGCTCGTCTCCGGGCCAAGGTGCAGCAGTTCGCGCAGCGATTTCCTGAAAAAAAGAAAGTCTTTTCATAAAAAAATCTAGAACCAGCCGCAGCAGCTCATCCCGTGGGGTGTAGACTACAATAGTGACCGCACCCGGGGGAAACTCACATCAGAATTCAAGTTCACGGTCCCAAAAAAGCCCGGGCGATTGGCGTGTGTAGCGGGCCCCGGTGTGCAAATAGGAATCGGGTCGAGGGGGGATCCGAGGCAAATTGCGGAGTTGTGACCTTCGCTTCGGGAGGAAAGGGGTCTGAATGAGAATTAGCTCACGTGAAACTTGTGGTGGTTTGAATAGTTTTGTAGATGTGGAATGCATGGTCAGACAAAATATGTTGCGTTTTATGAAAACAGTGAGGGCGTGGAAAAGCGCTGCGTTTTGACCAATTTTTTGGACGAAACGGGATAGAGAGATAGATTGAGACTGAGCGAGAGATAGCGAGAGAGTGAGAGAGAGTGTGAGCGAAAGAGGGAGAAAGCGAGGGAGAGAGTGAAAGAGAGAGAGAAGCGAGGTTGCGCGCGAGAGTGAACGAGATATCGCCGAGAATGGAAGAACAGCTTGCAAAAACACAGAAGGAAACAAAAGGAACATCTAAAGTATACATGGGTCGACGCTTGCATGCGCCGCATAAGCGTGGCCGGCCACGCTCTTCCGGAGCGTGGAGAGCCACGCTGGCGCGCGTGCCTCTTAATAAACCACGCCGAAATGAGCGTGGCCCGCCACGCTCCGGAAACGCTTATGCAAAGCTTCTAAAAATGCAAAATCAAAGTTTTCCAAGGGACATGAAAGCAAAAATCGATCCGTTTTCGAGAATTTAATTAACTAGAAGTTGAATGATGATCTATCATGTCTATTTATCAAAATTTAAAGATGACCCTGATAGTTATGTATCGGTAATTCATTTTTGCAAATCGAAATCATAAATATATGTCCTTTAAATTTTTGATTTGCATCTGGAGTTAAACTGCGCGCGTGAAAAGGCACGCATAAAGCGCCGCATAAGCGTGGTCCTCCACGCTCCGGAAGAGCGTGGCCAGCCACGCTTATGCGGCGCATGCAAGCGTCGACCCATGTATAATCTAAAGGACAATCTGGGCAGAATACAGCCAAAAAAAAACCCTGAAAAATTTCGCATAAAGATCAGAGAAAAGAAAATTCTTGCAATTGAATCTTTTAATTCCGGTCTTTAATGAAGCTGCTACGATTCAGGGAAAGCATCGACAAGTAAGCTTTTCACCAAACACACGGCAAATCACATGGATAGCAGGGGAGAGTCAGTTGTTGGTCGAGTTTTACCGGGGGAGTCCCAGAGAAACGGAGAACAAGTTTTTGCCCGGCTAACAGGCAGGGCATTTCACGTCGGGGAACCTTTGCATGAGGAGGGTGGAGGTGAAATTTGCGAGGCGAAATTGAGTGCTGAGGTCACAGCCGGGACGAAAACGGGAATTCCGCTCGGGCCGGTCGGTGGAAGCCGATCAATCGGCCGATCATATGGCATAGTGAAGTGGGGTTGCGGAATTCGTAATGTTATGCTGAAACTGGTAACTCTCCAGAACTTTAAACAACTGTAGAAAGTTGCTTAATAAACTGGGAATTTGATATTGTTAGGCTACTATGAAATGATATGTTAATTTCTAAAGTATGGGATTGTAAAGTTCTATGAGATTCGGCTTAAACCTTAATTCCAAATTGGAATAGACAAAAATAAGGGACGAGTCACCAACCAACCCTTATCATGGCAAACAAGTGAAATTGGGGGAGGCAGCCCCCGAAAATGACTCGCACATGCAATCCCGGAGCCCCAAATAACCTTGCCAATAATGCTGTACCATTACTCGGCCCAGGCGCAGGACCGGTTCGAAGTCATCGTGCCGGCAAAAATTGATAGCCACATCCTGACGTGAATCCGTCGGTATTTTTCGTGTGTTCCGCTGGTTTGACCAGGGAGGAGAAAGTGGTAAAAGTTAGTATCAGTTTCAATCAATCAACGCAAGATACGTTTAAACAGTTTCAAACGTATCTTGCGTTGATTGGGTAGTAAGAGGGCCTAAGGTTCAAAAAAATGGTTCATTGACAAAGTGGCAACAAGTTTATGTCATTTTCGGCGTGCTTTGGGCATGTTTCTAAACTTGACGACGGTTCCTTGAGGCCCGTGAAGAGGCGGGGGACGCGTCTCAATAGTGCATAAACTATAAACACATGCCCCCTTTCGGCTGGGAAAGTGTGGCGAGGAAGTAGACGAAGCATAACGTTAGATGTTTCAGGACGTCAGTTTGGGGGAGTGGTACATCGGAATTCTTACAATGCCTCGGATTCTTGGACGTGTGTGTGAGCAAAAATTATGTAAAGAAAAATCAGGAAAACCCAAAAAGACCATATTTTGGGACCATGACATTTCCGCCAGCGACATTTCCGCCAATTTGAGGTCAAAAACACACAAAACTTTCCAAATTAAAGATTTTCTTTGTGTTTTTGGCATTAATAAATTCAATCAACGTAAGTACATGCTAGTAGCGAAGAAATTACGATGCGGGAGAGTTGTTTTTGGGCATCATATCGCGTTTTTGACCTTTTCAGGCGCAAAATCCGATTTTGAAGAAAAAGCCATCATACGTTTGTTATTTCTTCTGTAATAGCTAGATCCGGGCGAGAAAAAAATAGTTAGGATTGTTACACGCATGAAACAGCGCATTTTACAAGCATTTTGGCCGTTGGCGGAATTGTCGTTGGCGGAAATGTCATGGTCCCCATATTTTATTATGCTCGCCTGTGGTATTTCTGAAATTCCAAAAAATACGTTGAAGAAAATTTTCCGCTTAGCAAAAGTAGCCGGAAAACTTGTTTTGGGTAAGCTACCGTAACCCCCCACCGTTGGACTTAAATTCCTATAAGAATGACTTCCCCTAAAATTCCATCTCTGTACAGCAACAAAGCACAACCCCTACAACCAGATCCAGATAAAGCCAATATATCCAAAAGCACAACAATCAAATATCACACCCGGTTCCCGGAACGTACAATTGGCCGGTGTCGATATTCGCGGCCATAAACCCCCGGCGCTGCAGCCGATACCTCATGAAGCGACGCCAAAATGGGCGTCGGGTGATTCAGATCCCGGTCCTCGCTGGAAATAATCCATTCGCCATGTGTTCGGGCACAATGTATCCCAGTTTTTTCGGGGGAAATGAGTCTGCTATGGCATCTGCCCTCGCTCCTGCCCAATCCTAAAATGGGACCCGGGCACAGTAACCCTAGGCAGGGAATCGCGGATTGGCAGATGGTTCAAAAGGAGGAAAGAGAAGCCATTACGGATACCTGAAAAGGTATAGAATCGTACGGTTTCACATTCGTACATTATTTGTAGAGTTTATAAAACCTTTTTTATCCGGTGTTTTGGATTTTTTGCAACCTAGACTAGTTCAAGGCCTATAAGTGGCAAAATTTAATGTCTTCTGTTCTAAGAAAATAGATGTCCGTTGTAGGTATCCGCCGTATTGTTTAAATGTAAATCTCTAAATTCCAGAATGAGCTCCGCAGCTGATGAATTTCAGTTTTTCCGTGACACGGTCAGCGCAGCATCAACGCTTGATTCAAGGGAATCTAAAGATGTAAATTTCCGCAAAAATTACCGCTTTAACGTTGAAAATAAAATATCATTTCAAGAATGGTTTTTAGACCCTAAAACTTGACGAGTTTCCGGAATGGGTTGCTCCAATCGAACTTGGACAGAACAGGGAATACACGCAATGCCGCCAGGAGCTGTATGATACCGAAAAAGCTTACTTGGCATATTTGTGCATCATTCAAAAGGTAGAAAAATCAATTTAAACCGACAACTGTGTCTTTAGCTTTTCGTCAATCCCATCGCAAAGCTGCCGAAGCTCGTGCACAGAAATGATGCTCGGAAATTGTTTGGAGAGCTGACGAGCATATACATGACGAATAAAGTAGGCCCTATTTGCTAAGATAAATTATTCTTTTTTATTCTAAATTAATCGTGATATAATACTTAATATGCCTTTCAGGAATTACTGATTTCACTTCGGTCAAAACAATGTGTCCATGAAGCTTTTTCGCTTATCGTACCTTTCCTGAAGCTTTATGCTTCATACGCTGGCAACTACCAAAATTCACTCAGCATGTATTCGGTAAGTTTCGACCTAAACGTTTAATTTTGGCTTGGCAAGCTAGCAGAGACCATTTGTGCAACCAAATAGCATTTCAGAAGCTGATGGCCAAGCCAAATTTCCGCTCTTTCATCGAGGGCCAGGAGGCCGATCCGCGGATGATGGGCATCAAATTCCACGCTCTATTGATTATGCCGATTCAGAGAATTCCCAGGTTGATCCAGTTACCCAATTTTAAACGAATGAAGTTAGATACATTCTCCTGCTCCAGCGGCTACGCGAGACTACAAATCGGACGAAAGAGAAAGCTGACCTGAAAAGTAAGCCATGAGTTTAAGGTCGATCAACACTTTAGGGCTAATTTCCCAAATGGAGGAGCTGACCTATCTGATTGACAGTTGCATTGAGGAGTTTGAGAATGGGGGTAAATTGTGGCAAATTCAGGTATGGAAACGATAACCTTAAAGTATACGATTTTTCAGGAATCGCTAGCCCTAAAGGAAGGAATTGTCGGGCCAGGCAGGAGATTATTGAAGGAAGGTACGCTGTATAAGGTAGGATTTTTGGTAGTTTCAAAATTATGTATATTTTTTAGAGAAATCTCTGCGGCGAAGCAACTTATCATGAGCGCTATTTTTGGCTTTTTAACGACATTCTCGTTTATGGAAAACGACGAATTGGTAAGTATTTTTCTTTGGAGAAGCTACGTCCATAACTTGGCAACGTAAAGTATCCCATAAATACAGCACATGTTTAGGAATGGGCCCTCGGTACGAGTGCAGCTGCATTTTCATGCTTCGCCACGTCGAGCTGACCTATGTGGAATTGGAAGGGGCGATACAAATCAAATGCAAAAATCATTCGCTATCACTGACGTCGGATAGCTATGATACGATTGTGGCGTGGAATGAGATGATGAAAGGTATACTTTTTAAGAAACACAAGTATAATATAAAAATTGGCTTCAGAAGCGATTGAGCGCGTCAAGATGCTTCGAAAAACTTTGAGAAAGGATAGCTCGTTGCAGCCGGTCAAGGAGTTCAAGTAAGACTTTTCGTTAAGGTTCTAGCTCATCCCTTGTTAGGTCTCAAATCCGGAAACGATTCACCAAGAAATTCGTTAACAATACCTACGTCTATAAAATGGGAGCGGTGCTGAAGAAGGAGCAGTCGCTACGCAAGAAATGGGTAGGTACATGGCTATCTAGCAGTGATACCTTGAGAAAATGAGACTTTTCCGCAACAACAAAAAATTCAGAGTCACGCCCTCTCCTCCCCATCCGACATCAACGTGATGGATACGCCTAGCCGACCTGGCACTTCCAAGATGCAAGATGTTGTTGCACAGCCCGAACCCACAGAATTGTACGAAACGCCCCCGGGACGCAAGTATGAATCTCCACGTAAGAAACGGCAAGCACCAAAGAGTCCGTACGATGATGAGCTGCGCGAGAAGTTGAGGAAGTGAGTCGTTGAGAGCATACAGGAGTCTAAGCAAATTTTTCAGAAGACGTGCGGCAAACGGTGAATCCGTATACCGGTCTACAGTCCCGGATCGTCCATCTTTGGATGAAGAATTTGGGTCTCGGCGCGCGTACGATCGATTGAACGTTGTGCCCGTCAACATCAACTCTCCAGCCCTGGAGATCAAGGACGATGAGCCGAAGATGATCCTGAATACGCTGCAAATTCGGAAGTATTCGTACATGGTGTGTTGAGTCAAAATAGATTATCGGTCGTTGGGTTTGCGTAGTGTAGTAGCCTAACGTAGCTTAAAATAACAGAGGGCAGCCGGAAAATACGATTTCACCGCGTCTAAATTCGAATTTTTGTCCTCAGAATCTAACTAGCTTTTGGTAGTATACGCTCATTTCTTGCAGGAACCACGTGCAGGTGAGAAACGGAAGTCCGTCTTTGATACGATGGACTCGGTGGACACTAACGGATCTTCAGAAAATATCGAACCAGCGCTCCAACCTCCACCCACCAAGAAAGTCCCTTGGTGGATCGCCGAGGCTCAACCGGCCGAATTCCGGAACAACAGACGTTCCGGAATTATGGGAAATTCGTGCTCGATTTTATAAATTTTACGCCTTGCACTCCTTTTTTCGCCTGTCTTTCGCTTCCATAAGTTCAAAAGGTTCCACACGCATTTTTTATTGTCTCTTTAACTTATTTAGCTCTTTGAATAAATTTCGACGAAAATTGCAATAGCACAACATTTGAGCCAAGTCCTCGTCAGTTTACAGCCAAGGCGCGGCAGTGCCCTCGAATTTCCGGATTTTCCCCTGTTTATTGTGTTGTTGATGCGTAAGGAGAAGAGGAAAATGCATCCTCGTATTGAAAAGAGTACGTGGCTTACGAAATGACAGCCGATATAAGTAAAGTTTCTGGGAGTTCCGGGTAACATACAAAATCACCAGATGCGATTCCTGCTGCTGGTTCTGCTCTGCGTTGCATTATTTGCGGTCGTCGAGTCGCAGTGGGGATACGGTGGGAAGCGCAAGTGATTGTATTAAAATATATTTAATTGGTTGCTACTACATTAATAATTAGCATCCATCAATTCTTCTGTTTTAATTATTGCCAATTAAGTCCAGGGCATTGCTCCATACTTAAAAAAAATCGAGTAAAACGTGATATGGAGATTTTTTTTTATCATGCTAATTTAGGTTTGGGTTACTGTGGCTTCTTTTGCCGACTCAGAATGTGGCGTATTGCAAATCTACAAAGAAGGTACCGCCTTTCTTAATAGATATGGTTAACCCAAGTTATTTTTCAGGCTCTGGCGTCTGGAATACGGTCCTGGCTGGGGCTTCTGGGGCAAGAAATAAAAATTTTTAAACCCAATTTTTTGGAATGCATTTAACGTTTGGCTTAACATTTTTACAAAAGCTATGCCAGCATTAAGCGACATTATAATACACATCACGCGATTCTGATATTTTCCTCACGGCTATCATGTGTAATTTCGTGATCAAAGTACAACTCTCAAGGGGAGGATCCATATCTATTTTCCCCTCAACCCATCAACAACACAAAAAAACACGAAAAATCAGGAAATCCGAGGGCGTTCACGCATCGACTGTAAACTGACAAATGACTCGTGCGAGCTAAATTTTTTTGAGGTATATTTTGGCTACAATAAATTATTCTGGAAATGCGAGCAATATTGGCGTTGCTAATTTTTGTTTCGCTGTTTTTAGCCATCGAGTCGCAGTGGGGATACGGCGGCAAGTTTTGTATCCAAGATTTTACGGATTTACAGCAATATTTCAAAGGCCTTCGAAAATCTTAATGAACGTAAGTTAATTTAGGCTGGGGCTATTGTGGCTTCTTCTGTCGACTCCGGATGTGGCGAATCGGTGTTTTGCAGAGGAGGTGATGTTCTATATCCAACACCAAGAATACTTTCAGATTGTGGCGCCTTCAGTACGGTGGCTACCCGAATTGGGGTGTTGGAATCGGGGGGTATCCCGGCGGATGGGGCGTCGGGCTTGGCAATCCTTACATGTGGGGCAAGAAATAAAATTTTGATCTGAAAATGTCTGAAATCCTTACAACATCCGTATACGATATCCATTGACAGCATACCGTACACCGATCTAATTCTCAAAAACTGCATAAAGTGTCCAAAGAAGGCACCACATTCTCTAATCTCTATATGCATCTTATGCCGATTTCTCGAATAGAAAGCTGTTGTTTCGCTTCCCGGCCCGGTTTTTCAAATCGCCCCTACGATGTCAGGGTGGTTGTCAAAATCGTCAGGTATCGACCCCCCTCACCGCCCGATCCGTCATTTTACAGCCAATTCCAGTCGGGACCCCCATTCGCCGCAAAATGGCCGCAAAATGGTGGAATTTATGCAGCCGAGTGGGTGCTCCGTTGCGAGACTGGTTCCGGGATTGGGCGCCGGCCAAAGGAAAACAAGAAATGGCCGAGTGGCGGTGGAGGAGGCGGAATGTGGTGTAGTGATGTTGCACAGCGGAGGGAGATCCATGTGGAATGAGATGGAATTGTGAGGGGATGGAGGACTGTGTGTGTATCAGAGGATTTCCAAAATGGGCTTGGGCGCCTTTTTGCTTGTCTCTGTCTCTCTCTCTCTCTCTCCTAGTTGATATTCGGGACCGGATCCCGAGTGTGGTGGGGCACTTGTCCACATTCGGAATATGCCCTCCGGACAGGATAAGCCGCCGAGCGACTATGCACGATATTTGATAAGGGCTTTTTCGGGGAGATCCGGATTTATTTTGCCCGGGCACCTTGGAGTGGCATGGGATAGTGCGGCTCCTATGCAAATAATCAGCGCTTCACAACTCCGGCTTTAAACATATTTTTTTTATAGGATTTAGTCGTACTCAAATGTGTTTCAGCGTAGGGTCCACGATACTATCCGGGTGTACAAATCCCATTAAACCCATTTTACCCGAGCGTTCCGAAAAACCAACTCCTTTACTTCTATTTACGCTATCTGTCGACAAAAATTTTTCATGGCAGTTGCCAAAACGGCGCAAAGATCTATCCTGGGATAAGCTAAATCCCGTTTTCTTTCAAATTTCGAAAAAAACCCAACGTTTTGCTCCTATTTAAGAAGCCGCAAAGCCAAAAATTTGCATACCAACCTGAAAAATGACGTCTAGATATGCCAATGGTTAAGCTAGCCCATCAAAGCGTTAAGCTTCCGTTTGATCAAGTTTTCCAAAACCCAACGTTTCACTCCTATTTAAGCCTTCTTGCCTCAAAAATTTGCATGCTATACTCATAAATGACGCAACGATCTACCCTCGGATAAGCTAGCCAACAGTCTTCCACAAAAATTCCATACCATTACTCACCCCGGCGGCAAAACGTGATGTAGATTTTCCGGGGACCCCCCCCCCCCATCGCACCATTTGACGCCGCCCAAAACCCGGCATTTATGAATATCTGGATGACAAATCTGAAGGTCATCTCCATTCTCGCCGGCTGCTTGCTCCTGCCCGCCGCCGGGCACATTCGATGCGCCACTTTGGGGCGGGGGGGGGGAGCAAGCGGGAGAGACAAAAGGAGTTCCCCACCCTACCCGCTCTTTCATATATATTCAGTTTATGGTGTCACATTCTCGGCCACACAGACACAGACATACACTCGCATACCCCAATACAGCCACTCCCATAACCCACCCATCCACCCAGCTATAGTTTACGTAATCGGTGGGGAGGCGGTAATTTGGTGGCGTTTCGGTTGCGTTGACCTTTATAAGGTATCGATTATGCCCAAATGGCTTGTTGTATTTAATTGGGTATCGACACCTACGATGCGTGCCAAAAGTCGTATCTTATAACTTTCTCTAATCTACATAATTGTCGTATATCCCCTTTACCCTTCCATTTACTAAACTCGGATAACCCAAAGTTCTAGACGGCTCGAGACTAGGTCAATTATCGCATAGATCTCTCCATGTACATTCTAGCTCTTTTAAAGTCTTTAAAAGAACCGAAAAATCAAAATTACTGCATATGAATGTGCCTCTACGTAATTTAGGCAAAATTGTCACATGAATTATGTCATTTTCGCAATTACGTTAATCTACGCTTTGATACTTTTAACGTTATGTATACTTTTTGCCTAGTTTCTCTGCAACTGCTATTCTTCTCATTCTGTCCCCCAGAATTCCCCACATTCCCGCTGCCCACTTTTTTTGGGCCCTGGGCCAATCGGCTCAACCCACCGCCCAACTAAACCGTAGGACCTGTTTTGACCGTTGGTGCCCATCTTTGGGTCCCAAATTGCAATTCTGTCCCGTTGCTTCTAAGGCTAAATTCTCTTCTAAATATGAAAATTCAGCGTCGCGTGACTATCAAAGGTATTGTTATTGATTTCATTGATACTAAATCTCTCAAAATTACTGGAAAATTTAGCTTTCTACTACCCGAACTTCCATTGCATTCCTTGGGCTAAATAAATGAAGTGTTGTTTTGTCTAGGTTTTCATACATCTTTTAGTGATGCAAAACTACTGTGCCCGATGCGACGAGGCAGTCTATTTTGCCGAAGCGGTCCAGGCGATGGGCAGCTTCTACCATAAGAAGTGCTTCGTTTGCTGTAAGTTTTTATTTTGAAATTTTCGTGCCTATACAATCTAAGCAGCTCTGTTTTTATTTAATGTTATCTGACCTAATTTTTTAGCGCGTGAACCCTGTGGCCGAAGCCTGGACAGTCGAACTTGCAGCGAACACGAGGGAAAGGTGAGTAATACCTTCTCATTAATGTTCTAGGAAATTTAGCCCTATTGCACCCACTGCTACAAATCAATGTTCGGCCCGAAGGGTGTTGGATACGGAATTGGAAGTGGAGTCCTATCGACGAATGCGCCAGACGAAACGACGGTACGAAAAAAACTTTTTAAAAACGTTTAGTCGAAGTGAAATCCTTAAAAACAAGCCTAAAACGAGACAAAAAAAACGACGGAATTGCTAAAATTGGAAAGCCAGGTCGTTAAAGTACCTATTCTAGGATTATCAGCCAAAAAGCAAAAAGTTCGCAGCGAGCAGGATTCGAACCTACGCGGGCAGAGCCCAATTGATTTCTAGTCAATCTCCTTAACCACTCGGACATCGCTGCACGGGGATGGGTGGTGCGGGAAGGGGGTCTTGTCGTTGGGGTCCCCCCATGCCCCCAGAGAACGACAGGGCTTTGTAGCATGCGAACTTGCTATGGAAATTGGCTGTAGTATACCTGTGTAAAATTCTAATTTAACCTTTTTAGCGCCAAATCGAACATGGCAAAATGTTGCCCTTCACATCCACGATCAGCTATGGTACTAACGATGACGATTATGTCCGAAAAGTAGGTCGAAAGCTAGAAAAACTTTATATAGAATTTCAGCCGGTTAATGCCGTTAATAACGCCGTGAGGTATGAAAATTCGCCTATACAACAACAGTGTAGGTTGTTTTAGTATCTTCCTGTATGATTTTTTTGTCATTTTTAGTTTATCAACCCCTACACCCACCGGTGGCGGGAGTCGCTCACATTCAAACGCAACGCATCGAACAGCCGGTGGTGCGCACAGTTATTAAGGTAATTTTCATATTTTTTTGTTTTGTCGCGAATCCCTATTAAACGCTTGTATTTGCCTCATTTTCTGACTCATTTTCACCGCGCCGGGCCACATTTTTTGGGTTGCAAAAACTGCCCCCGTGCCCCGGAGATTAGCCGGCCGAATCGATGGTGGAGGCGGGAAGGGGATAGAATTTTTGCGGTTTTCAAGCTATAGTAGCTTTTAGAGTATGTTTCGTCATTAATTCCTTTTCTAAGAGTATTTTTCTTTTTCCATTTTTGCACACAATTTTGGGTAGCTGGGGAGCATTTTCGAACCGATTACGCGAGGAAATTAGGCGCTAGCTTTGTGATAGTCGCTTCGCCAAAAAATATTGGGCGATAATGTTGTATTTGGGTTTCATTAACTGTTAGAACCAAAAATAAACTTTACAAGACAAATAAACTTTGTAATTAGCATATATTTACATATTTCATATTTCAAGTGTCTAAATTACGAACTGTGGCGTTTTGATCTCTAAAAAATCAAAAGACCAACATTCGAACCCCTACTGTTTACACTCCAACTCAGCAATTCCAATTCCTCACCCCATAAATGCCAATGCATTCGCCCCAACGCCTTCTCCTCCCTTATTCTGGACGTATTTTTCGCCTTACGTTTTCCGCCTGGGCCCTCCCTATCGGCTCTCTATTTTGTGCCCTCTATGACCAGAATCCCTCGCGACTACCCTTTTCCCACGTCGACCCCTAACCCCAGTCCTCTCTTTGAAATCCTCGGAAATTTCGATTTCGGCCCCATTTCCGGGCTCGCAAAGCACCACGTCACGCATACGAGGGTGATTTTTTGGCGGTTTGATCTGATCTTTTCAGTGCATTTTTCATAGATTGTAGTGCGTTTTGTATAGCTTGGGACTAGGCAGAATAGCAAAGATTCTCGGATGTCTTGTGTATTTTGGATTCACGCGGATTTTAGCGGATAGAAAATGACAAAAGAGTTAACGGATTTCGCCATGAAAACTCGAATTTTTCGCAATTCGTTCTGGTCTATCCATGATTTTTTCTTTATAAAGATTTCTTTTATAATGATTGGTGCGTTTTAAATTATGTTGAATTCAATTTCAAATATTTCCTCACAAATTTATGTAATTTTTAGGCGTCGAAGCGCGTTGAATCGGCGTAATCTACAAAACCTTTAGTATTTGTTGCATTTTTAGTTTGAGATTTTTGGACTCGTAGAAATTGAGAGGCCTGTTCGCCCTCAAATTCCCAATTTCCATCGCGCTCCGTTGCCTTTTTCACCCAGGGTTGTTTCCATTCTCAGCATATGTTTTTGCCTATACCTGCCATTTCCGATCAGCTGATTGTACCCCCAGTTTTTATGTTGGTCATATGGCGCTGGCTGCCGTTATCGGATTAGCGACCGCAGAGTGCGTGTTACAGGTTTTGATAGGACTATAATTCCGTGTTCGCCACTTTTGGCCAAATCTATAAAACGTGTTAAATCTCCATAGATACTCAAAAACGGTAGTATACCTCGAAAAAATTTAGCAAGATGCCCCGATCCCGTTGGTTCGAGCCCCGGTTGCGGCCCCGAGGCCGATGATCTGCAAAAAATGCCAGAAGACCGTATATGAAGCGGAGAAGGTTTTGGCAGCCGGAGCGGTTAGTTAATCACGGTCTTCATCTTCAAATGCACACAATATCTTCAAATAGAAATTAGACGAAAAAAGTGAGCTTCAAAATTTTTTTTAGGTATGGCACAAGTCTGGCTGCTTCAACTGTAGTGACTGCAACAAGCGCCTGGAGTCTCGAACTCAATGTGAGCAGGGCGGAAAGCTATACTGCAATGGTAAGTTATATGTTATAAACGTAAGCAGTTAACCAGAAGATTATACCAGAAATTAGGCTCTCATATACTTAAAAATTGATATTTATACAATCCGTTAATACCCTTTAACCGAACGTGCCTTACAAGATGAGACTACACCAAGCTCCAAATCCCACCCATTTCAGCGTGCTACGGGCGCCAATTCGGGCCGCGCGGCTACGGGCACGGCGTCGGCGCCGGGTTGTTGCAGCTGTATCAATAAGCCGCGGAATAGAGAGATTCCGAGAAAAGCCCTCGATTATTTCGGAAGCCAGACGATTTTGCAACATTGGCCTCAGAGAGGGTCGTCTAATAATTTGATCTAGCCTTTCCAAATTCCACGATTACTCATAGATACTGTGTCTTGAGCTTTGTGATATTGTTAATGCGTGATAATTCCGTAGATTTGCCTCTAAAGACTCAAAACAATTTGAGATAAAGGGGCCGGCAAGGCAAAATGGGGCGATAGATTTCATGTAACTCCTACTGTATCCGCGAGACGGAACGCGTAAGTACGTACGCCTCCTTGGGCCCCGCCTTAAGACCGCGTAATCGATTACGCAATGGAACGCTGACATTAAATTTTCGTGTCGCCGCCAATTCCATAGCGTTGCCTTGCACATCCCTTGAAAACAGTGTGCGATTTCTAAGGAGGCTTTGACAGGCTGCCAAAAACCTCACAACCTCAAAATTTGCCTTCCTAGTCCCTTTAAGATAATTTCTACACCCTCCCCCACCCTCCGCCTCCCTAATTCACTATTTGCCGACCGAATCACCTGGTCCCGTCTATTTGTGCCAGTTAGAGGCACAGACAGCAGGCAAAAAGATTGTCGAGGCACTTGTCACGAGCAACCCTATTTCTGTATCCCCTTGGAAAGTTTACTCAACCCGTTATTTTGCTTTTTCGTGCATTTCAGACTTGCTTTGTGCTTTTTCGCGTACTTTTGCTTAATAAATCGATTGCTGAATCATTTTGATGTATGGCTGGGCCTTGATGCACGTTTGACGTGTGCAATATTTTCACCTTTGTACGGTTGCTTGCGTTTTGAGCCTCTATTTTGTGAAAATCCGCACCTAGCCATATGTCATTTATAATCACTGTATTTTTGGTTTAAATAGCTATCTTAAAAAGGGAAAAGTCATGCAGAGCTAAAACGCATTAGTTTAAGGTACTGTTTCCTTGAAAAACTCTGTACTTGTCGTCCTTATCAAGGGTACTTTATAGTCGCTTTATGAGAGAAAGAGAGAAAGAGAGAGAGAGAGAGAGAGAGAGAGGCAGAGCGAGATAGCGAGCGAGAAAAGTTATAGTAGTTACTCAATGTTATTCCTTGCCCTCGATGTTTCCATGCCATTTCTAACTCATCACACAAAGTATACCTAATCCATTTTCAGGCACACTACTTCCCGGGGCATTTCACGGGTTATATTTCTCAAAAAGTCTTTCAAAGCCTCGTCAAATAAAAGATGCTCGCCGAAGCCGACTCGTCGACAGATGTTGAACACTTTCATAACACAGCCGTGAGGAAGGATCCGGTGAGTCTGATATGAAAATGATCGGCCCCTGCCTGAGAGTTATTACCTAGCGTAATCGGATTTAGAGGGGGAATAAAGGGTAAAAATACATAACATAATCAGCTAGTATATTGAGCTTGAATTAACTAGTGTGATTGGATTTTTAAGGTGCATAGATAGCAGAAAATGAGCGTAATCGATTAGTCCGTTGAGGTCGGATTATCTGGTGTAATCGGGTTCTAGGAATCAGTTTATCGTGCAATTTTAAAAAATCTACCTTTTCATCAAAATTATGTTTTAAATTTTGCACCAATAAATTCCAACACGCTCTACTTTTCTACAATCCATCTATGCCACATTTAGACACGAGTGTCCATCCCTCCCCCTTCACCAGGGGATAAGCCCTTCTCGATGTCAGTTTGTCCTCCTCCCCTCCTCTCTGGTTGGCCATAAAAACATAAAAAAGCGTCGCCAGTTCGATCCTCTCGAGAATTTGAGACCTGCTGCCCTGGTGTGTCTCTTTTTTGACGACACCACCCGCTCTTTCCACCACCACCACAAAATCCGCAAACAGCCCCGGCCCTCGACCCCCGGCAACATTTGACCCCAGCCCTCAACTGCTTTTTGTATCCTATCGTATCGTTTATATTTGTATGTTGTTTTTTGTAGAAGAGGGCTATTTTTGGGTTTTCTGCCTGGTACGGTCCCTTAAAGTTCTTTGAATAGCGTAACGGGTAGCACCTTCGGGCCGATTTATCTAGCGTAATCGGGCTTTCAAATACCATAGACAGTAGAATTCATTGCGTATTTATTCAGTACGTTAGGGCTGAATTACCTAACGTAATCTGATTTTCATAGCTTAATCGATTGATCGCTACAATGATTTACGTTGCGTAATCGAATTTTTAATGGTCCAGAGACAGTAAAAATTCATTGCGGTCGAATCAAATCATGTCATGTGGCTGGGAATAGATCGTCTCGTCATTTTGCTGGCATCCAGATCCATATTTTTTCGCCCCTGATATATAGTTTTTTTCTCTAAACATGCTTGCCATTTTCCTAGAACGTGTCACGAGGTGTAATCGGATGATTCAGCCGCTAGAATTTACGAAAACAATCTGAGATTGCCTCCACCGATGCCAGCTTTCTCATAAGAATAACGTAGACACAACAAATTTTTTGCCGTCGTTTTTGCGACTGATTGTCAGAGTTGGGAAATCGTGGAATTTCTATTGGCTCCTCTTATAATTCATTTTTATGGATGTTAAAAAAACTATTGATACGTTTTGGACGAAAAATAGTGGTGTTTCACCTGTCACCTGGCGCAAATTTGGGCTTGATGAGGTACGGCGGAAATTCTAACCATTGAATCGGAGCTATGTCACAACGTAGTACTCGGTATCAGAATCACCTGTCACAGGCCCTTTAAAAATTCGCAGTGGAAACACCTGGCATCGATACTTTTCCGCCAAGTTCAAAGTTGCGCTCACCTTCCATCCTGTCCCGTTCCTCATCAGACATCTAATCCCCTTACCCTCCACCCCTGTTGACAATCCCTTTTGATGAACTGATTGATGTGAAGCTTGCAAGTCTGTTGCCTTGTGTGTGTGTGTCTTCCGATGCCTTCACAAACAAAAAGCCTTCTTCCCCTCCACGCACACATCCACCATCCCCCTCCCGTTTTTTGCCGCCTTCCGCACACAACGCCCCGTGCACCGCCCACCCCAACCATCGGCGGTTCGATTTTTTCCAAGGGGGTTTGAGGGCTAATCGAAATCGACTTATCGTCGGGGGCCATCTGAGGATCGGGGTGGGGGTGAATTTTAGTAGGTCGCACTTTCCGCGTGGCAACATTGTTTTTCGGGGGCCCCCATTTTTGGGGGAAGAATTTATGAGCGAAAATGTGCTTTTGAATGAATTTTCTCATCGGCTTGGGCGGTTTGTACTGCGATTTAAATATACTTAAAAGTAATGACTGCACCACAGTATCTAAAGGAGCCAATTCCCTAAGTGTCTCTGCTAGTTCGCCCGTGTTTTTGTGACATTTTTTACTTTTAAAATTAACCTTGATCGAGCGATTCAAGGACCCTAAAAGGCTGGCGCAGGCTTTTATGTGAATTTTGCTGGCTATAGATTCTCACAAAATTTCGCCGCCCCCGCTATGTGACGTTTATCTGCCAGGAAGACTTAATCAATTACGCAACTTAAAGGCAAGCGCTTGCTTTGCGTCGCGCGGCGCGGCTGAAAAATCCACAGCCATACCTTGCGCGTCCCTTTAACACCAACATAATCCTTTATCCCGTCCTAACTTCCAAATCAAAACGCCAGGGCAGAAATTCCCTAGTACTATCCCCCACCACCTCCACCTATCCTAACCAATCCGAGCTGCTCCTCCGTACACTCCTCCGTCCGTCCCCCTGGCTTGAGTGATAGTCGACGAATTTCCGAGAGTCCGACTCCCCCCACAGACCCACAAGAGACCCGCCCTCACAGGCAGCGTCAGTTGTTCTGCTACCCTCCTCCTTACTACCGTTGTTAGCAAAACGGGAGCCGGCAAAAGGAGGCTGAGGGGGAGGGGTAGGCGGGGTATTTGCTCTTTTTCTCTGGGGCTTTCTTTGGCTTTACAGATCTGTTGCTCTGTTGCCACTCGAAAAGTGGAGAGTATTTTTAAAAATGGCTGAGCGAGAGAGAGGGAGAGAAAGAGAGAGAAAGAGAGAGAGAGCGAGAGAGAGTGCGCGAGAGAGGGTGTGAGAGCTAGAAATAGACATCGATTCTCGCCGGTTTTTTTGTTCTTGGCTTTAAAATACGGGATTCGGCAGGGTAATTAGCACTCACCGCACCTCTCTTGCTCTCTCTCTCTCTCTCTCTCTCTCTCGCTCTCTCTCTCAAAATTACAAACAGTCTCGGATCAAGAGAGGCGGGTCGGGCTTGTCGAGGCTTCAAGTGGGGACCCCCGGGTCTTTTTCTATATTTTTGTGTTTCTTTCCGGTGCCCCTTATCTTGGTGTCTATTTTGGGGGGTGATTGTGGGGGAGGAAGAGGGGGGTTCTGGCAAATTGACTCATTGTTTGGTCTGTATGGAGGGCCATCTCGTACCTCCTCCATTCACACCTGGATCCTTATGGCTTCCGGTGGATGAGGTCGTCATTTTGAGCCTCATGTGGATTTGAAACATGCACTTCGATGCACTACCATGCACTTCGATGTTATTAAAAATCCTTATAATTTGTTGAGCATCTTTATTGGACTTAATAATCCTAAACACCACAAACTAAAGTCTTCCCCTTAAAAAAAGCCCCGACTTCCTTCCGAATCTAAAAAAGCCTACCCGCTACCACCACACCCCGATCCCGTGCCTCCCGTTGTATCAATTTATTCAAGGGGCTGGGTCTCTAGGCTGATGATGCCGACGTGGATTCTCTCTGATATCCTCTGATATCTCAACGATTTCTCTGCGCTTCAAGCAGGCAAAAGCCGTGCCCCTCGAGTGCCGTTGGGTCAATAGAAGACGGCCAGGGAGATCTGATTCGATAGGGGGAAACTCGAAAGCGATATATCTCAACTAATATCATTCAAGGAGCCGAGTGTAACTATCTAACCGCTAGAGGAAGAGGCATTCTGAATATTTCCACGTTCGGGGGGAATGTCCGACAGCGAACAGGATCCGGTTAGTCATTTCTTCCCAAATCTTGGGATTTTCCCACGTTTC